CAGGGCGCCGAGCGCAGCGCCAGCAGGGCACGGGCCCCGCTGTCCTCGCCGACTTCGGCCATGTTCGCACAGCTCCAAGCGGCCTCCGGCGGCGGCGCGGCGCAGGGGGCGGGGCTCCGCGGGGCGCGGCGGGCGCGGGATCCCGGTCCGGATCGCGGCGGAGCGGAGCCTGCGGGCCGCGCTCCCCGCCCGCCGGTGCTCGCGGGGGCGCGCGGGGCGGGGTGGGGGACGGTGTCCGCGCCCCGCCAGCCTCGCCGGTCGCCAGGTAGCGCTTCGCCCACCGCCCCCGGCCGTGGGCTGTCCCTTCCTCCGTCCTGGGACTGGGGTGGGGAACCCCCGAAAAAGTCTCCCTGGAAAGTTTTGATCCTGGGTCACTCACTGGAGAAGGGACAACTGACGTCAGCAGTCTCCGGGGCCCTAGTGGCTCCATCCGCCAACCCTAAAGTGCGGTACTTAGGCACCAAGTTTAAGGGGTTTCGAGCTGTAACTGAAGTTTGCCTAAAGATGCTTGCGATCCCTGATGCCCTGTGTTCCTTTTTGGAGTCATACATTCACTCAACAAGTATCTAGACAAGTATCCTGGGACCCATACTAGGGCCCGGTGCAGTCGCCTCCGGCCCTTTACACCTCTTACAGTCTCATGGGGGAAGGCAGACGCCTGCAGAGGAGTCTTCTGTGAAAACGCAGAATTGGCCACCTTAGGCATCCTTCAGATCCCGCAATGCTTCATGCATTCCTAATTCAGCCAGGGCCCCCTACAAAAAGGTGGCAGTGTCTGCACACTGCCATCATTTAACAATTATTGAGCGGGAGAAAACAGACCCTCCCTGGTAGAGCTTACGGTGTACTGGGAGATGCGGACAGGAATCAAGTAACATTCTAATAAATACATACAAAATTACGGCTGTCTCAAGTCCCGTGAGGCATTGTTGCCCAGTGACATGTGTAGGGAGTGTGGCCCCCCTAGGGTGGGAAGCTTGTCTTCGTACCCACTGTCCAGCCTGGGGCTGCAACAACAGATATTAGCCCAACTGTCACATGGTTGAATATATAGGTACAAACAGAATCAGTGCTTGGGGGGCAAGTAAGAGACATTTTTACAAGAAGCTGTAACGGGAGAACCTACTTGAAGGTGGAGGAAGACAAAAACGGGGTCAGGGATCTCTTCCCTAAGGAGTGATACTTGAACTGAAGTCCAGCGATGATTAGGAGTGGGGGTTGGAGTCCGGGGATGGCATTCCAGCCAAGGAACAGCACGTGCTAAGGAACGGAGCATGGTGCCTTCCCAGGATTGACAGGTGGAAAAGAGAGACTGACCACATCAGCTGAACAGCATCAGTCATGTAATTGGGGTCTGATCCCCAAAGCAATGGGAACCACTGAGGGGCTGTAAGCAAAACGGCAACATGCAGACCCACATATCGGAAGTAGGATCACTGGCTGTCGGGCAGAGCCTGAATCCGAAAGGGGTCTGCGTGACCATAGGAGGCCAGCTAGGAAACTCGTAGACCAGGCCAGGGGCTGAACTAGGGAGATGGGGAGAAGTTAAGGGAGTCAAGCAATATTTATCTCAGACAAAGACGTTTACAGACGCATTGCTGGCGGGAATGGAGAACGCTGCAGCCCCTCTAGAAAGCACTTTGGTGGAAAACATAGGATCATCTGATTCAGCGATTCCACTTTTTGGTCTATACCCACGAGAATTGAAAGCAGGGTCTTTATTTGTTTTTAAATAAATTTGTTTATTTATTTTTGGCTGCGTTGGGTTTTCATTGCTGCATGCGGGCTTTCTCTAGTTGCAGCGAGCGGGGGGGCTACTCTTCGTTTCCGTGCATGGGCTTCTCATTGAGGTGGCTTCTCTTGTGGTGGAGCACGGGCTCTAGGCACGCGGGCTTCAGTAGTTGCAGCACGTGGGCTCAGTAGTTGTGGCTCGCGGGCTCTAGAGTGCAGGCTCAGTAGTTGTGGTGCATGGGCTTAGTTGCTCTGCGGTACGTGGGATCTTCCCAGACCAGGGCTCGAACCCGTATCCCCCGCACTGGCAGGCGGATTCCTAACCACTGCACCACCAGAGAAGTCCCGAAAGCAGGGTCTTGAAATGACATCTGTACACTCACGTTCAATGCAGCGTTATTCACAATATGCAAAAGATGGAAACAAGCCAAGGGTCCACCGACATGTCTGATGGGACATTATTCAGCCTTAAAAACAAAGGAAATCCTGACACCTGCTACAACGTGGATGAATCCTGGAGACATGGGGCTAAGAGAAATCAACTGGTCACGAAAAGAGAGGTCCTGTATGATTCCGCTTATGTGGGGTCCCTAGGGGAGTCAAGTTCATAGAGACAAAAAGTAGAAGGGTGGTTACTTCCCAGAGGGACAGGGAATGAATGGGGAGTGAGTGTTTAATGGGGACAGAGCTTCCGTTTCGCAAGATGAAAAAGTTTTGGAGATGACGATGGCTGCACGATAATGTGAATGTACTTGACGCTACCGAACTGTACACTTAAAATAGTTAAGATTGTAAATTTTGGGTTACGTGTCTTTTACCACAATTTTTTCTTTAAAGAGAGAGATTTACATAAAACCTCCAAAGTTCTTTCCTCTGGCTCATCTGGGGTGACTTCTCTCTTGTTAATGACAGGTCTGTTTGAGAACAAGAGGTATATATGTGCTTCCACGGCCCTCAGGCTTGACGATATTAAACGTGAAGACTTCTGCGCAGACTGACAGACCTGGACAGTTCTTTTCCCGACCAGCAAGAACCTGTACGTGACAATGGTAGGAGCTCCCAGGGCTGACTCACGATGACCCTGCAATCCGAGACACCCACTGAACCTTGCAAGTTCCTTTCCTCTTAAACAGCAAGCCTTCGATACACTGACAGCTTCAACGGAGAGGTCCAGAAAGAGGGCAATAAAAAGCCATTATAGAACCAGAATCGGAGAAAGTGAATTCTTCTCACACTCTCTTGCGTCTAGACGGGCTGCTAAAGCTGCTTCACGATGCATCCGCTCAAAAAAGGAAAAAGAAAAAGTTTGCGAGGGAGGACCCAGTCGACTGCTGGGAGCCCACGACACGCAGGCTCTTACCCTGATGGAAGCCCCTGGAGCTGGCTGCAGGAACAAAAAGGAACAAAATTCACTACAAGACACTAAACCATTTACAAGAAAAACACACCGTATTGGTGGGTGACGATGAAGGCCATGTTAAAAAGAGGCCATGAAATATCTGGAAAAACAATCCATTAAAAACAAACACACGTGGGACTTCCCTGGTGGCGCAGTGGTTAGGAATTCGTCTGCCAATGCAAGGGACACGGGTTCGAGCCCTGGTGCAGGAAGATCCCACATGTCGCGGAGCAACTAAGCCCGTGCGCCACAACTACTGAGCCTGTGCTCTAGAGCCCTCAAGCCACAACTATTGAGCCCACGTGCCTAGAGCCCGTGCTCTGCAGCAAGAGAAGCAACCGCAATGAGAAGCCCGCGCACCACAACGAAGAGTAGCCCCTGCTCGCCACAACTAAAGAAAGTCCGTGTGCAGCAACAAAGACCCAACACAGCCAAAAAAAAAAAAAAGATAATTAAAGTCTTAAAAACAAAACAAAACAAAAACACATGAACAGATCCTTCACTAAAGGTATAGGCGTGCAAAACAAGCCCAGGAAAAGATGCTCAACATCATTCGTTGTTAGGAAGCAGGATAAAACCACGCTGGGATTTCTGTGAAAACTGATGAGAAGGTCTGGAGTTCTCCCGCATGGCTCGCAGAAGTCAAGACGGTACTGCCACTTTGGAGAAGTCTGGCCGTTTCTCATACAGTTCAACTACCTTACCGAATGACCTGCAACCCCATCACTAGCTCTTTATCCAAGTGAAATGAAAACTTGTGTGGACACAAAAACTTGTACATGATTATCTGTAGTGTCTTTTTTCCTAAAGACCCCAAACTCGACAACCCAACAATCCAAACGCACCTCGCTAGGGGCATAGAAAACAAACTTAGGCCCAACCGTACGACGGAACATCACGCAGCACTGAAAAGGAGCAAAGGACGCGTACAGAGAACACCACGGAGGACCCCAAGCGCATCCTGTATGCTTTCATTTGTAGGACATCCTGGAAAAAGCAAAACTATAGAGGCAGAAACAGATGAGCGATTCCGGGGGCTGGAGGTCTGGGAGAGGCTAGCTACAAAATGACATGTGGGAATCCTGGGTGGGAGGTGATGGCTGTGGTGGTGATTATACGACCCCACGTATTTGTCAAAAGTAGCAGAACTGTACACAGAAAAAGTGAATTTTACTCCGTGTACATTTAATATAAAATTTAAAAAATATATATATATATATACATCTCTATAGAGAGTTTGTGATTTTAGACCCAAAACAAGGATTAAGGGCCATATCGTCCAATTCAGAAGCCGCTAGTCACATCTGGCTATCTACACTTATACTCTAACGAAAATGAAATAAAATGAAACCCTTCCTTGTGAAACGCGGCACGAGCCACATTCCAAGAGCTGGATCCGGAGACCCACGTGGCCAATGGCTGCTGTACTGAACAGTGCAGATGAAGAAAGTTCCCATAACTGCAGAAAGTTCTGGACGGTGCTGCTCTGGGGGCGGGGTGTGGCTGGGCTGCGTCTGCCCCCTCCTCCCTTCATCCTCCAAAGTCAGGGAATCACACCAACGTGGTCCGGGCAGAGCCGTACGAGACCTCCGCCAAAAGCGCCGATGGGGTCACCCTCCTGCCCTGAGCCGAAGGGGTCCTCGCTTGGCCTGCTGTTCCCCATCCCAAGACAGGGGCCCGGTGGAAACCCCTCCACCTAGTCCTGGCTGGGCCTGAAGGTGGGCAGATGGGCTGGGAAGCCTCAGAATCTGAAAGCGGCGGGTCCACACTCACAGCTTCGAGGGCCTGAAGCTCGACGCGCATCTGGCAAATGAGCGATGAGCCCAGAGTGTTCTCTGTGTTCTCAGCGTCCCCTTCCTCTTCCTGCCTGCTGAGTGTCACTTCCTGCTGCTTCTATATCCTTCTGGATCTTCTCTGCATCCCCAGTGCTGCTTCCTGTCTGCTCACTGAGTCCCTGGGGCCTTACATCACACAGTGATGGGCCTCTGACCACTCCCGAGAAGGACCGCACTTTTGGATCACCACAGAAGATAGAGACAGACAGACAGAATGATCCTCCAAGAAACTTCCTCACCCATCTGAGGCCCCCAAAACCTGAGAGAGACATGGCCCGTGTCCTCAGCTCACTTGGAACAGGTGGGCTTGTTTTTTTTTTACAGCCTCCCCTGGCCACCCTGTCATTTAGAACCGATCATATTTCTTAAACGCTAATTCAGGAAAAGACATGTCTGACTTCGACACCACAGGAAACTTGTTCAAACAAAGCCGGGGTGAAAACTACTCTTGACAGAACACTCGGGTGTTGGCGCTCAGGAAAAAAAAAAGATGTTCTGTGTGTTACTCATCCGTGGCTGTGTAACAGCAAACGGTTCCAAAACGTAGCAGCTGAAACCAATCAATGTGTACCATCTCACAGTGTCTGTGCGTCGGGAATTTGGGGGTGACCCAGTGGGGTGGTCCTGGCTCGGGGTCTCTCGTGAGACGCTGGCAGGGCTGCGTCTTCCAGACGTTCGCCTGAGCCTGGAGGATTCTCCACGTCAAGACAACGCGGAACGAAGGTGCTGGGGGAGGGGCGCCAGCCCCACCGCTAACCAGCTCTGTGCCCTCGAACAAGTTACTTGGCCACTGGGCCTCAGTTTCCTCTGCTGTGATATGGGCTTAGGGCTGCTGGAGGACACTGAGAGAGTCACTCCTGTGACCTCAACAAATGCAGAGTGTTTCATAAAAATAGACTTGGAAATAAGGAAAGCAAGACTCTTAGCCCGAGGGCCAGCTCCGCAGAAGCCCCCAGAAGCTGCTCAGCCAGGCGAGCCTTACAGAGACGATGCCTGTTTTCCTCCCCTGATGGAAGGAAGCTCAAGGGGATTTGGTTTCTTCCTGATCTTTACTGTGAAAACCTGGCAGGGCTTCGAGTGGTAAAACTCATGGCAGTGTCAGGGCCCCCAGGACGGGCCCCCAGGGGTGTGTGATCTGTCCACCCAGCCCTGGGTCCCCCCCACCGTTTCCTGTTCTCTGGCTTTGTGCATCATGACTCTGCATTCGTCCGTCTGTCCAAACAACCTGGGGTGGCGGTTTGCCCTGTGACCTCACTGCTCTGGCAGATCTAAGACGAGTTTTGATTCTTCAGCTCGTCTAGCTTTTTTCTTGCGTGGCTGGGAGCGGTGTGTTATGGACCAATGTAAGCTCCGTGCGTGCAGGAATGGAAACAGAGGTCATTCCAAGCAGTCATTCAGCAGCTCTGTTTCTGCTTCTCCGCAAAGGTTTTTGTGCTGTTATTTCCACCACAAACAGGCTCAATCCTCTAAGCGCTCAGGGGCCCGCTCTTCTGGAGAGACATCCGATGGGCTGCAGAAGTCACCTTTGTACCCGGTGAACAGGTCACGCCAGGTTTTTAAATCAGCGGCTTGAAGTCAGGCCCTCCGAGTGCCCAGTCAGTGGTGTCATCCCAGTGGAGGGTCCCCACTGCAGACAAAACCAGCCCCTGACTGATGAGCCACTGGGGTTGTGCCCTCGGCGGGGGCCTTTGCTACAACCCTGAGGATGCAGCTGGGCAGAAGCGACGGCCCTTCTAAGGCTTCACGACCCAGAATACATGCAGAACCCCAGAGGGATAATTTATAGCCGCTTTATCATTTATAGCTCTTGAGCGCTGGAAGTGGGACCCAGCCAAAGTGAGATGTGCTGTCCGCGTAAAACACACGACACACCGATTTCAAAGACTAGTTAAAAAAAAAGAAAGGGCAAAAGGTTATTCATAGCATTTTATATATTTATATTGGTTATAGTTTGAAACGATAATTTTTTGGATATATTGGGTTAAATAAAATGTACTACCCAGATTAATTTCACCTGTTTCTTTTTACCATTTTAATGCAGTTACTGGAAAATAAAAAATTACCTCTGTGCCGCACATTTGTGGCTTATATTATACTTCTATCAGACGGGACTGTTATAGACCAAGGCAACTTTTTTGTCCCAATGGATGTTTCTGTCTCAATTATGACGGTGCTCTGAGTTTGTGTTTTAGCAGAGCTCGGGCTGACCCCTATCAGTCTGGTGTCTTTGTATCATGTGGATTCCTTCCTCTTTGGTTATCAGAGCACTTTGGGGGAGTTTTAATGTCCAAAGGGTCTGTGTTTGTGGCTGGATCAGACAAGGGAGGTGGAGAGATTTAAAAGCGCACATCGACCACTTGGTGAGCTTCGCTGTCTCCGCCACTGGGTGCTTCGGTTTTCTGCCACGGAAACCGACTCTGGCCAACTTCAACAAAAAGGGAATGTGTTGGCATGATGCTAGGTTGATCACAGAACTGGAGAAAGCCGAGATCCAGCTTTCAGAAAGGGCTGGAGTCAGAGCAGCCCTGGGGATGTAGCTGCCAAAACCGCAAGGCTGGTCTCCCAGGATGCCCGCGCTGGGATTAACCAACTCCAAGCTTTCCCCTTTCTTGCATCATTCCATAGGAGATTGGAATTCCCAGGAGAAAGCAGCTGACGGGTTTAGGGAGGTTCTGTGCCCAGGCCTGGGCCAAAGGAGGGCAGGCACCAGGCGGGGCCGGCCCTGGAAGGCGTCATGCAGCCCATGCTGTGGGGCTGGCCCGTCCACGGAGCAGTCTGGTTACTGTTAGCAGAAGGGGCGGGGACGCAGAAAAGGCAAACAATAGATGTCCACCTCCTCATTCCAACTGGATTTCGTCAGGGACCCGCCAAGAACTCAGCCAATTCAGCATTTTTTCAAATACTCTTAAGCTCATCTTTTAAAACTTTTAATTGTGGGAACGTTGAACACATAGACAAAAGAAGACAGAATAATACAACATACCTCCATGTACCCAAAACCCAGCTCCAGCGGGGATCCGTATACACAGCCTTGTTTCATCTATAAGCCGCCCAAATCCTCTCGTATTATTTTGAAGCCAGTCTCAGGCATTATATCATTTCCTATAATTCAGTGCGTATCCCTAAAAGATAAGAGTTGGTTTTAAAAAAAATCACCACGATAATCCGTGAAAGAATCCTAATCCCGCCTTAACAGTATACAATTTTTGGCCAGTGTTTAGATTTTCATCTTCTCATAACCTTATTGAGGGATAATTTACCTCAATTGAGGTATAATTTACATACCACAAAATTCACACACTGTAACGTACAGTTGGACAAACTTTTGGAGAATTGCACAGTTGTTCAATAACCACCCCAATCCAGTTTCAGAATATTTCTGTCACCCAAAAAGTTCCCTCACGCCCATTTGCGGTCGATTCTCACTCTGACCTTCAGCGTCAGGCAAACACAGATATGCTTTTTTCTCTAGGGTTTTTCCTTTTCTACCTATTTCCCATACACAGAATCACACGCTATGTGGCCTTTTGTGTCTGGTTTCTTACGCAAAGCGCAAGGTTTTGGGGTTCATCCATGTTGCACGGATCAGCAGTTCATCCCTGTTATTGCTGACAATGCTTTGCTGTATGAATATACCACCGTTTAAAAAAAGAAATCAGTCCACAAGTTGAGAGACACACGTGTTGTTTCCAGTTTGGGTTTTAGTAAAACTTCTGCTATAAACTTTTATGCACTACTTGTTGACATGTGTTTTCATTTCACTCCAGTAGATTTACAGGGGTGGAATTGCTGGGATACACGCCAAATGTATACTTAACTTTTAAAGAAATTACCAGACCGTTTTCCCAAGTGACTGCAGCATTTTATGTTCCCAACAACGAGTGAGGATTCTCTTAATCTCTTTTAGTCCATGTTTTCCCTCCGCCTCCTTTTTTCCCCCTTTCGATTTATTTTTAAAAACGGGGTCACCTGTTCATTAAAGTTTCCCAGAGTCTGTTTCCCACTTTTGCTGGTTGCATCTCATGGAGTCTAAGTTCATCTGAGCTAAAACAAACAAACAAAAACAAGATTAAGCCGCACGTACAGTCAGTACACAAAGTGCAAAGCTTAAAGTTTAAGAGAGTTGGTAGAGATAAATCCCGGTTTTAATTCTGAGCTTCCTAACAGTCCAAAGAAGGAAAGAGGTTTGGTTACAAGAGTCACTGTCCATAGGATGAAAACAAACTGATTGCTCTGTGGAAGCTGGCTTTTTCCTGCCAGAGACGAAAGAGAAATTTCCACCATGATTCCCTCTTCCTTATTAGGGACGTGGTAGGAGTTCGAGGGGCAGCGCCCTGACTGGTGACCCAGCCAGTGCACGACAATGTTCTTTGTCGGGGGATGTCAATGATTAAAAAAAAAAAAAAAAAAAAAAGCCAGTAGGCTCCTTTGGGATCTGATGAGGTAACATAACAAGTCAGACTCCCAATTCCAGGTCAAAAAAGGCAACTTTTAACCACAGAATTCAGGTCCTCACCTGAGCGTCCATCATCCAAGCCCCAGTGCTGTGTTGCTGGGAGGAGAAAGAAACATTTTTATAACATGAAGATAACTCCCAACAAAGTACCTACTATATTAGCTGCCCTTTCAGGTCTGTACCAAACCTCCCCACAAAACACAAAAATACACAAACAAAAACAACCCACTGTCAATTCATCTTTTTTTTTTTTTTTTAATTCATGTAGAGTTGATTTACAGTATTGTGTTAGTTTCAGGTGTACAGAATATTGTGTTAGTTTCAGGTGTACAGAATAGTGATTCAATTCTTTTTGATTCTTTTCCATTCTAGGTTATTACAAGATATTGAATATAGTTCCCTGTGCACTAAAGTATGTTGTTTATCTATTTTATATACAGGAATGTGTGCCTGCTAATCCCGAGCTCCTAATTTATTCTCCCCCCCCCCCCACCGCTTTCCCCTTTGGTAACCGTAAGTTTGTTTTCTATGTCTGTGCGTCTGTTTCTGTTTTGTAGATAAGTTGATACGCGGCCTTTAAATGCAGATTGTAAGCACAGTCCTCTGTGCCCATTCTCTCACCCTCAAGTGACAAACGGGCAAGTGTCTGAGATGTAGGGGGACAATGCCCAGCAGATAAGTGGCACCTTCCTGAGGAGGGTGACTTCCTCGACCAGCTTCCCACGCGGTGGTCCTGCCTCTCCCCACGAGGCCACATTAGGCCAGCTTATCTCGGAGGCCCAAGAAGAGACCCCCCCCCCAGTAAAGGAGACGTTTGGCCCTGACCTTGCTTGTTGCAAACCTGGCTTAGATAAACTCACGTCCTTTGCATCCTGTTTTTCTTCTAAGTGTCAGCTGTACATCAGGGTCCATCTCAGCAGTTTTCTCTCCCTCCCTCCTTTCTCACTGCCCACGTCATGCCTTGGGGGTCTCCATGGTGACGAAGGGCACTGGACAAGAGCGACTTTTCACCCCAAGAAACTTGAACATGGAGTTCCTGGCTTACTTGAAGCCTCACTGTTTATTCCAAGTCTGGACTTCCCGGCAGGAGCTAAATAATTTCAATATCTTATATTTTTGTAGCAATTTATAAATGTAAGATGTGAGAGAATGAATTCGAATCCAAGCCCCAGGAGGGCGGGGACCGTCTTTGTTTGCTGTGGCGTCCCAGCACCCGTAACAGAGTTCGTGCGCAAACTGTTGTTTGAATGGATGCATGACTACGAAGGTACAGCCATTCTACGGGATGTAGGAGATGTCCCTGTGTTTCTACAAAATTTAAAAATAATTCTTTGAGTGCAGAGGGGGTGCAAAACTCAGTTTCTCTCTTGCTGGCGTCCTCCCTCTAACCCGGAGGTGTGCAGAGGCCTAGATGTCCCGCAGGAGGGCTCAGGCCTTTAGCCCACACTGAGCTTTGCTGATACGTCCTTTGACCAAGACCAACGCGCTCAAGGACCCCGCAGCTTTGTGGCCAAATTCAGACACAGCAATTTTTGCAAGGCTGGAGGCCTGGTTTGTGGGGTCCAGCCTTCGCATGTGCGGCCCTGATCCCTTCCTGGGGCTCTCCAAGAGAGCAAGACTTGGGTCCCCGTGGCTCACAGCACCCCGAAATCTGGCACCTTCCTTGATCTTGGTTTGTGACCCCTCCTCTGGGAGGGGCTGGGAGCCACCGCTTCTGGGAACTTTTCTCTCTCCTTCTCCCTCTTCGGAGGCCCTAGTATAACCCCTCGTTGAAAACTTAGCCTTCACTTCTGCAACCCAAGCTCACCTAAAACAAGAGGACGCAAAGCCCGGCTACTTTCAAAAATAAACACAAAGAGGACAAAAATACAAATTTATATATCAGGAAACACCCTGCCGCAGACATTTGAGGAGCCTGTCTTCATGTCTTATCATTTTCAAAGTTGCTGTTGTTTTTTAAAAACATCTGATTTGCTTGCAGAGGCCAACACAGAGGGAGGTGTCATCAGTTCCATTTTACAGGCTGGAGGCTGAGGTTCCAACAGGACTGGTGAGGTGCCCTCGCCTTGCAGAGGTGGGCCTGCAGCCCAGGGTTCTCAGGGTCTTTCCCACCCTCATGAGGGGATTAGAGACTGCTGTCATGGCCACGCAGACTTGAGTCTCATCTAAGCTCCCAGAAGCTGCTAGTGAAACATTAACCAGCCTCGTCCCAGCAGATCTTCCCCTACCAGAACGCCAGCTCTCCCTTCTGGGTCACAATTTACTTTAGTTGACATTTATTGAGCACCTATTGTGTGCCAGGCACTGTGCTGGGAGTCTTAGGTATATTATTTAATTCTCTAAGCAAGCCGGTGAAAGACGTTATTAGCAGCTCCATTCCAACAGGGCCCCAAAGTGAAACTAAGATCTAGAGAAGGGAAATGACTTGCCTGAGGGCACGTTGCTGGTGGGACGGGCTGAACTGAGGCTTAGCTCTCGGGCCATCCGATGCTAAAGCCCCCTCCAGCTCTTGGTACTCCCTGCTCTTTGCAAAGGGATGGAAACAATTAATTGGAGGAGAAGTTACTAAAATACTTAAGCAAAAGCTTTCCCTTTGTACTTTCTACAAAATGCTCTGTAACGCATGCAGATGATACTATGCCTGTGTCCTCAGGTTAATGGAGCTGATGGCATGTGGGTGTGCTGGGTGCATGGACAGGCCCTGGAGTCAGAGCCCCTTAGGGTCCAAATGCAGCTCCAACACTTAGAAAGTGCAGGGCCCTGGGCAAGGCACTTAGTCTCCACGGGTCTCAGTTTCCCCTCTTCACACGAACCTCCAGCCCACAGAAGGGCCGTGCGTCCAGGGCATGGTGCGCAGCCCAGAAGGTAAGCAAGCTCTCCCCACGTGCTACTGAGTGTCAGGATGACCCAGATGCAACTGCCACTCAGAACTGGGCAAACGCGGTCCATCGGTGTTCCTTTCACATGGTTCAACCTACACTTATAATCGAAACTGAAGTTGAGGGTCTTCCCTGGTGGCGAAGTGGTTAAGAATCTGCCTGCCAATGCAGGAGACATGGGTTTGAGCCCTGGTCCGGGAAGATCCCACATGCCACGGAGCAACTAAGCCCGTGCACCACAACTACTGAGCCCACGTGCCACAACTACTGAAGCCCACGCGCCTAGAGCCCGTGCTCTGCAACAAGAGAAGCCACTGCTATGAGAAGCCTGCACAGTGCAACAAAGACCCAACACAGCCAAAAATAAATAAATAAATATAATTAAAAAAAAAAAAGACTTTGCCTTCCAATGCAGGGGGTGTGGGTTCAATCCCTGGTCGGGGAGCTAAGATCCCACATGCCTCGCAGCCAAAAACCGAAACATGACAGAAGCAATATTCTGACAAATTCAATAAAGACTTTAAAAAATGGTCCATATCAAAGAAATCTTAAAAACAAAACAAAACAAAATGGAAGTTGAAACAAATAGGCCCAAGGGTGGGAGTTGAACTGGAAATCTTCAGAGCTCCAAACAGGGAAGAGGATGAAATAAAGACAGTGAGAGAAAACGAAACTGGGCTTTGGTGACTTGTGCGCTGTAGGTAGGAAATGCTCATTTCTCATTCTGCTCTAGGTATATACATTCCTAGTTTTGAAGTCGGAGAAAAGGAAAAAGCAAACGTAGCTTCCCACATCTATGGAGAAACCTGTAACCGAGAGAAGGCAAGGGAATCCAAGAAGCCCTAGCTTTCAGCCCTGCTCCGGCCGTGTGTAAGAAGAGCAGTCGTACTAAACACACACGGCGCTAGGGTGAGGGAAAGCAGAAGAGACGTGGCCTCCTGCTTCGGGTGGACCTTGCGGATACCTAAGCGTCATCTCGTCCCTACGCAGTTTAACCTACCCATGCTTCAAGGGAAAGAACAACTTGGCTAAGAGAGTCTTACGAAGTTTAAGTTAATCGAAAGATTGAAACTTCAGGACATGATGTCGCCTCCCTCTTTTTATGTTTTTTGTTGCCAAAAAGAACGGGCAGCGAGCTGTTGAGATTCACGTGAGTCAGCACACTGACTTACCGGCTTTGAAATCCTCCCTAGCAAGTGTTTGCCTACCAAGCAAAGAGTAGTAAATGCAGGTACCGAAGGATATTTACAATAAACCTAGGATATGATAATTACCATCTGAGAAAAGCGCCAAATACATATAAGATTTATTAAAAAAGAAAAGAAAAGAAATACAGGACCCAAGATTCCTGAACCCCTCTCAAAAGTAAGAACTGAAAACCCCGATTCCCACTCGTGTAGAGCCTTATTGGACTGTAAACACAGAAAGGAAAATAGAACCTATGTAAAACTGCCACGTCTCATGTGGCGGGAGGGGTCACTGCCCAGGCCCTCGGCTATAGGATTTAAGTAGCCCCTGAAGATTTGAAACACTGAAGGATGGGCGTGATTCTCCCCTTCGGGCTGCCAGAGAGGAATCACTGTTTGAATGAGGAAAACAGGCAGCATGCCCTAAGGGAGACCACCGTCAGAGGACCGGCTTCTCGTCACAACCCTGATGACAGCCGTGTCTCAGGCAATGCCCGCGGGTAGTTAGTGGTTACAGCCTGGAGTTAAAAGGGCAAAACCACCAGCAGCCTCCCCTATGGCCATTCTGCCCTTTTCCCTAATTTTTCCTGGGATGGTAATGAGCCCAGCTAAAAAACTATATTTCCTGGGATGGTAATGAGCCCAGTTAAAAAACTACATTTCCCATCCTTCCTTGAAGCCAAGTGCGGCCATAAGACATAAGTAGGGTTAATGCATTTGATGAAGACACAGGGTTTAGGATGACCAACTCATTGCCTATACGTTCTGAATTTCAGCCACGAAAACCCTGCATCCCGGGAGACTCCTCAGCCCTGGACAAACTGGGACGGCTGGTCCTCCCAGTCGAAGGCTCTGTGAAAGGCGAGATGGCAGGTGGCACGTGCCGGCTCCCGTCTGCCCGTCCCCTCTTGATGCACGGGGTGTGGACTCAATGCTAGAGGTGACGATGAATCGACAGACATGAAGACAAGAGCCACCAAGTTATGTTAGCGGCAAGAGCTTGACAGGAAGAACCGTTAACTAGGTCCAA